CGCGTAGACATTCAGATCAATGCTGTAAGTCAATTTTCAGCATACAATGGTCATCAAGCTAACACGTTCAGCTCTTCAACATGATGATGCAACAAGACAATTCAAACGGCATCGAGCTGGCCAAGTCGTCTCACCAAATTGCCCGCGCCAGCTACCGCGACTCGTCCTCGATGAAGACGCTCGCCATTGTCACCATGTTTTTCCTCCCGGGAAGCTTCGTCTCGGCAATGTTCTCCATGCCCATGTTCAAATGGGACAAGGCGGACCCCGACTCGTCATCCATCGGTGTCGGCCTCTTGCCCCAGTTTGGCCTCTACTGGGTCATCACGCTGCCGCTGACCATTGCCACATTCTGCCTCTATCTCATGTGGCTGTGGTACCTCACACGCCAACGGGATCGCGAGGTTGGCGTCGTTCCCCTCAAGAGCGTTGATAGCAGCGACGGCGAGGAAGGGCAGGATGCCGTCGAGGAACGCCGCATTGAGAGGAAGACAAGGCCAAATGACGCTGTAGGGCAGCGTAGTGACGCATCCAAGATGTTCGAGGCGCGGAGCTTTGTGTCCAATGTATGACATCTCTGACAGTAATTTTTTTGCCCTCGAAAAGAGCTTGTCTGTTTTTGTAGACGATGCGACGATGAACAAGACGACGGCCTGGTTGTATTTTGCTCCACACAAGCGTGTCATTCTAGCGAGGCTCTCTGCCAATTGTTATGGAATATAAAGCAAGACTGGTATTGTAGAAATAGCGAAATTTGAAAGAAAAAAGAAATAAATAAATAAAGTAAAATAAAGCGGCCCAGATAAGAAGCTCCTTCTTTTGCAAACTCAAAAACAATGCAGAGTTTTGGTTGACGAGCAGGCCCACGACACCGACTGTGCTCATGTGTTGGCGTGCAGCTTCTAGCTTCGTCACCACGACGTACATAGGTACTCTCAGATCTGCCCCGCTAGACACACGACAGGATCTTGCCATCTTCACCAAACCACCGGCCACGGCCCAGGTTCGACGCGGGAAACTGGGCCTGATAGAGAGTTGAAATTCAATCAGCCCCTTCTCACTCGGCCTGCCCGCATTACTGAAGCAGGCTTTCCGGCCCGCATCCTCGCGATCCCGCCATGGCAGCCCCCGCGACTGGCAGCCCTGTCCCCGCGCAGCTGGGCTTCCTCGCCATCTACAACCCGTCGCTAGGCAACACGGACGATACAATCGACAATCAGATCGTTTACTATGCCTCGGTCACGTCGCTGGCCGCCGCGTCCTCTAAGCGCCGCCGCGCGCGCACCAGAGGTCGCCCGACCGAGGCCATCTCGCCCGAGGAACGCAACGAGCGTCTGCGCCAGATTGGTCTCGCGCAGGGCATGGTCAGCTTCAGCCAGGGCTTCGCCGACGGCGATCCCGTAGATAGCATCGAAACAGAAACCACCAGGGTCGTTGTGCATGAGCTCGAGTCTGGATGGTGGATCCTAGCAGTACGTTGATGGGAACAAGTGCTCGCTCGTCATGTCAGGACAAGACCTGCGCTAATTTCGATGGTGAAGAGCATTGATCTAAATAAGACACCGTTGCCACCGCGGCTATTGACTAAGAATAGTGAGCCGCAAGAGGAAAAATACGATTACAATACCAAAGAGATGAAGCCCGCCGCCCTCGTCTTGCGTGATCTTCAGCGCGCGCACCGCATTTTCTTGATGCATCACGATATCTCGCTGAGCTCGCTTTTCTTGCGTCTGCCACGACATAGATTCGTGGCTGTCCTCGGTCGCTACTGGGATCTCTACTTGTCCACGTGGAACGTCTCACTACATGGAAATCCTGCGAGAGACATCTATCAAGGCATAAATATCGCGGCATCGGGCGAGCTTGGTGTCGGCGTCGGTGAAGAAGAGCGCGGTAGCGGCGAGCGCGAGGTTCTCGAAGGCCTGGTCGGCAGGACCGAGGGGCTCGTGGACGTCATGGTGTCCAAATTTGGCATCGAGAGCGATGATGAAACGGGATCAAAGGGCAAAGCTGCCGCGCCTTGGCTTGGCAGTGGCCGGGAGCCTTCCACCGACGATGGAGCCATATTTCTAGGTACAGGCGCGCTGTCCAGAAAATCTCTGAGGGACGTGACGCACTGGATGGAGGACCTCTATACTTGGGGTGAGCACGCATACGGCGTGATTGAGAGCCCGATTTCGACGCGCAAGGCTCGACCGAAGAAGACTAACCCTCAGATCGATGCCCCAAATACCTCCGCGGCCAATTCAGATGACTTGAGCGAAACAAAGCCCGAGGTACTCTCGACGCAAAGCAGCGAATCGACCATCAAAACACTGAAAACCAGAAAGTCTGATCCGGCCCCCAACACAGCCGGCAGTACAACGGCCTCCGAACCGACTGAGGAAGGCAAAGATGACCAAGTTTCTGAACCACATAGTACTGGAGCTGAAGATGGCAAATTGGATAAGATGGTTAGCTACCTGAAACTCGGCTACGGTCAGTATTGGACCATTCCCGGCGTCTCCGGTCGCTCTGGAACTTCCACGGAGCAAGCCGCCGATCAAAAGGAACAAGCCAACTCGAAAGCAGTAGAGCCGGCGCCTTCGAAAAGGCCCCCCATGCCGAAGCCATCGCCGTCCCAGGAAGCTGCAGGCCACTATCTCATTGGCCTCAAAGGTGAAATCGAGGAGTCGCATGGTAGGGGCGGCGGCGACGCTGCGTCCGACGAATCAGAATCTGAGCACGACTCCCGCACTGTTTTGCGAACCATACATGTCGAACTGGAAGACAATGAAGGCGGTATCGGTCAAGTTGACCAGCCGCCACAGAGATCAACGGATAATGACGGTGCCACACTTATGGAAGTGCAGATGCGCGGCGCTATGCGTCCCGGTGCACATACGCAAGGAAACAGCAAGGCGGAGAAGCTGCGAGTAGTAGTCTATGTCAACCGACCCTTTATTTTCGTCTTCCTGTTCCGCCTACAGACGGACTCGCTGGCGTGGGACGCGCTCTACCGATCACTGCATTACCAGCTCTCGCCACTGCGCAAGCCCCTGCTCGCCTCGACACAGTACCGCCCTGAGAGGCCAGATACGGGCCGCGGCAGCCGCGGTGCCTCGGGCATCTACGACCTCGTCTGGAACCCCCTCGACCTCACCGTGCACACCACTGTGCCCAACATACCCGATTACCTGTACCCAGCCGACGACCACGAGTCCGCGCTGCGGTGGTCTCGCGCCGACGCCGTCAACACGCACCTGCACGTGCTTAACCTGTACAGCGGGACGCGGTCGCCGCGCGTCGCGGATCTGGAGCGCACGCAAAAGACGAGTCGCGGGTGGTGGGTGGTCTGGACCAGGCTCGTGCAGCGCGAGACCAAGTCCAGAGTCACGCCGCAGCCGCCGCCGCCGCCGCACGCGCGAGACTCGGCACCGCCCTCGCCTCGGCCCGAGTCGGACGCTGGTGACGAGACTGGTGCGGTGGCACCAGGCCCTGCCACGACGAGCAAGGAAATTTTTCTAATACGTCGCGCGAGCGACCACGTCTCGTCGGGGAGCGGTAGCTTGGGGGTGGGAGGCGGCGGAGCAGAGTCTGTGGGAAGGCTTGCGCAAGGGATTGGGGTCGACACGCGGAGATATGTGGAAGATTTGCTCAGCATGCTGTAAAAATTGGATGTGATCAATGTAGTTTCATGTTTTGCCAAGCACTTCTTTGCAAAAAATTGCTCCTATTTCTGGCTTTTAGCGGCATTGGAGTTGCGGCATTGGAGTTTTAGCTCTGGGTGCATCTAGGCGTCGGTTTTAGTAAAAGATGGTCCTTTTCACGACTGTGTTTTTCGAACAATATTACCGCCGCGGATATTCAAAGATGTCGCTCGGCTTGGGCAGTCATGTCTCTTGCACTGTAAGCACATGTGCCGTCTTACGGGCCGACGACGTAAATGATGATTGATAAAGCATCAGATGGGTGCGGTTGGTGAAGAAGCAGCAGGTAGTTACGCTTTCTGGTCGTGGGTTTCGGTCAAGGCATGACAACCAACCAATTTGCCAACTCATTCAAGTGGAAAGGGCATAAAATCTGTTTTATTGCGAGAGCCGAAAGAAGAAAAAAAGAATTTGCACTTAAGCTGAGCAGAAAGGCAAAAAAACATGTTGTCTGATGAGAATGGGATTCGAACCCATGAGGATTGCTCCACCAGGAATGATGCTAAGGTGACCTTAACCTGGCGCCATAACCAACTCGGCCATCTCACCGGTTGATGAAAGGACTGGATTTATTTTGTATTATACAGGTCCAACTCTTTTACATGGCTGCTACGCCGCTTTCTTTAACAATCGGCCTTCATCGTTGGCGGGAGACACAACGACGACTCCACGATTTCGTCACAGTCGGTCTACTAGTGTTATGCTTTGTCTTTAAATTCGACGTAAATTAGAAAAAAAAAGAAGAAGAAAAAAAGAAGAAAAAGAAGAAGAAGAAGAAGAAGAAGAAGGAAATCCATCGTCATGGCAATGGTGCTGAATCACTGACACAAGTGCACAAGCCACCATATATAGTCGCAGGCGATCAAGGACGTGGTAAGACATTTGTGAGCGAGAAGATGCAAAATATTCATGCATCATACTAAAACTCGACTTGAATCCACAATGATGTACGGCGAGACGAGCAAGAAGAGGATACTCTGCAGTGTATTCAACCCTGTTGTTAGCACCATGACACCCACGGCCAATTTGTGCAGAGGAAAACCAAGGACTCTGCCAATGCGAAGGCTCGTTTGTCAGTCACTGCGCATATTGCTACGCGTGACCCAAGACAGTCAAGTCAGCCTATAAAGAATTCAATCTACCAACTCCAATATATTCCGTACGCTTGGATGTCGACAGTGCCTGGCCGGGGTCACAACTCACAGCCTCCAGAAAAGTTAATGCAATGGCGCGCGAGGACGCAAGAGCAAGATCACGCAGACTCTTCTCTACTTTCATGTACTCCTTTACTGCAGCAAAGTAACATCAGTCGGTGAGATGGCCGAGTTGGTTATGGCGCCAGGTTAAGGTCACCTTAGCATCATTCCTGGTGGAGCAATCCTCATGGGTTCGAATCCCATTCTCATCAAGCAACTTGATTTTTTTACTGTTATTACCTACTTTAATCTAATCAATCAACACAGTCTGCTCTAACTTATTCTTTCCCGTTACTATTTTTATTTTATTTCTCGTCTCTTCTTTTTCGCGCTATATATTTCAGTTAGGGGAGTAGCTTATCTATACCTTAAATAGAGCTCATCTAAGCCTAAGTAGGGTAAAAATAGTAAAAAAAAGTTAATTAATAGTAAATACATAAAATATATAAGGTACTTATATATACTTATATTATTATATAAGGTTCTTTATATTTATAATTTAAGGACAATTTAAGTAATATAAAAAATAATATAATATAAATAAATAATATAATATAAATAAAGTAAAGTAAATATAAATTTTTCTTGATTTATATATAACTTTAAATATTATATATTTTAGCCTTATTTAACTTTTTTTTTTTTTTTTAGATCAAAGTATCAGCCCACCGGCGCCACGCCTCCTCGCTCTACACCGCGCTATCGGGCACATCTTGCACCTTTCAGGTGCAGGAGAGCATATAGACGATATTTTCCGCAAGTTGGAGGATCGAATGGTGCAATGTGATGGGTCGACGCCTTTGGCAGAACTAGTGCAGTTGAGAATGCATGGATGGAATACCACTTCTGCGAACTCATAGAGTAGAAGTCAAATTGGCGAGGATAGTTTCATTTCCAGAAGCTCATTTTGCTGCAAGAAATTATCGGCGTAGGATGTGATGCGTAGAGGGAACGGCCGGAAATGCACCCCTCCTAGGTACAAGCTGGGCTACAGTCAGTGTAGACAAGCTTGCAATTGTCCACCAAATTAGACTTCTCTTCACGTCAGCATAGGCTGCTATTCAAAATTGTAAAGACGGCACGGTAAACCCTCCGGGTCTCATGAATTATAGACAGAAACCTCAGGCCAGCCCAAGATCTTTTTGCAGCTCCCGGTTGACGTTGGCCAGGAACCCGCGACTATTGGACTGCGTGACGTAGCCATCAAAGCTGAAGTCGTCTGGTCGTTGCCTCTTCCTTCCCCTCAGCAAATCTTGCACCACCTCCTCCTCCGACCAATACTCATCGTCGTCGTCGACGCAGCCCTGCGTTTCGTTCCCGTTACGTGTTGATCGCCGTCTCTTAGACAGGTCGCCTGCGGGCGGCGCAGTCTGCAACGCATCTCCGGAAGAGGGCGTCATGGGGAGGCCCGGCCGTCCGCTTAGCGGAGTGCTGCCTCCGCTCGACGGACTCACGAGGCTTATGGCCGAGCTGCTTCTGTTAGTGGCGTCAAGCGATGATAGAATGATATTTGGGCGCTCGGCGGCCATGTTCTCGATGCAGCACATGTCGTAGTGGTGAGCGAGCGCACTACGGTCAACGCGGGGTGGGATTTGCGCCTTTCGTCCGTGATAGAGTTCAAGATCCTCGAAGGGGACAAAGACCCGGATACGAAGCGTAGTTGGGTGGATGGATAAGAGGCGCGCATCAAAAAAGTCATGTATATGCTTCATGAGTAGAATACCGTTTCCGGGACTCCACGTCTTCTCCCATGCCTGGCACAGCCGTCGCGTGCTGTCCTGGGTGGTATCGCTCGGGTCCCCCAAAGGGTACAAATGGTAGTGCTGCTGCGGCACAATGTGGCAGGCTTGGACGCCGGGGCCGATGAGCTG